AGCAATCAACGACTAGGGTACATATAGACTCAGCAGTCTTACCTCGCTCCGCTGACAGCTCGCAGCATAATAGTCTCTCTCGCGGATACTATGTCTCAGCCAAGCTCTTCCTCTGACGAAGGCGTCAGCACGCAAGTCCCGGGTCCTCCGATCAGTCCGGCCATGCCGGACGCCACTCCCGAACCCAGGACCTCTTCCCGCGGCCGCACTCCGGCCCGACCAGCCGGGCGTTCCCTCAGACGCCGGTACCAGGCTTCGCCGCCCCAGCAAGACCACCTCCGATTTCCCCGGCCTCCTCCTACCGCTCGACCGTCCCGACGATCCCTCCCATCGGGAAGTGGACCGTAGCCGGGCTGAGACAGGCGCTAGGCTACTCGGACACGCCGGTCTCAAGGAAAATGCACAAGGCGGAGCTGTACGACTTGTACGTCTCCTCCAAGCCCCTCCTAAACCCGCCCGCAGGCAGGGAAAAACCCGCAGGGCCCCTCGCAGAGGAGAAAACCATGGGCCCCGCGACGTCCATCGAGTTTCTAGGGATTAATTTGGATTCTAGGGAATTCCAAGCATCCCTACCAAAGGAGAAAATCGACCGAATAATTCTCGTCTCCTCTACCTTCCTCGAGAAATCTTTCCTCTCGAAACGCGAACTCTTATCCCTGCTCGGCCATTTAAACTTCGCAATGCGCATCATCCCGCAGGGTCGCCCCTTTATATCGCATCTCCTCTCACTCGCGTCCTCTGTCCACTCGCTAGAGGACCCCATTTCCTTAACCCGTGCATGCCGCGACGAACTCAGGCTATGGGTAACATTTCTGAAACAGTGGAACGGCCTATCGTTTTTCTACAAAAACCTCGTCGCGACCCCCACCGACATCCAACTGTTCACAGACGCCGCCCCCTCAATCGGGTTCGGGGGATTCTACCAAGGTCGTTGGTTCGCGGCTCCGTGGCCACCTCAGTTCCAGGAAATACCGCAATCCTCAGCGCTATTCGAGCTCTACCCCCTCGTAGTGGCAGCTTTCCTATGGGGAAAGGAATGGGCCTCTACAAGCATCCTAGTGCATTGCGACAATGAGGCTACCGTGCACTGCATTAACAGAGGCCGCTCCCACTCACCCGCTCTGATGCCACTCTTAAGGCGCCTCACCTGGATCGCAGCTTGCGACCAATTCATTATCATCGCTAAGCATATTCCCGGGTCAGAGAACCAAATCGCCGACTCCCTGTCTCGCTTTCTGTTTCAGAAATTCAGGACGCTGGCTCCGGAGGCGGACCATATCCCTACTCCGGTCCCTCGCTATTCAGAATTGGTATTCCCGTAAACCCGTTGCACGGCGCTCCCTCCCCCGAAATAAGCAACCCAAGTGCCGCAGCACACCCGCCCCAGCCCAAGTGCCGCAGCACACCCGCCCCAGCCCAAGTGCCGCAGCACACCCGCCCCAGCCCAAGTGCCGCAGCACACCCGCCCCAGCCCAAGTGCCGCAGCACACCCGCCCCAGCCCAAGTGCCGCAGCACACCCGCCCCAGCCCAAGTGCCGCAGCACACACGCACCAGCCCAAGTGCCGCAGCACACACGCACCAGCCCAAGTGCCGCAGCACACACGCCCCAGCCAAGTGCCGCAGCACACACGCCCCAGCCAAGTGCCGCAGCACGCACGCCCCAGCCAAGTGCCGCAGCACGCACGCCCCAGCCAAGTGCCGCAGCACGCACGCCCCAGCCAAGTGCCACAGCACACCCGTTCCAGCCAAGTGCCGCAGCACACCCGCTCCAGCCAAGTGCCGCAGCACACCCGCTCCAGCCAAGTGCCGCAGCACACCCGCCCCAGCCAAGTGCCGCAGCACACCCGCCCCAGCCAAGTGCCGCAGCACACCCGCTCCAGCCAAGTGCCGCAGCACACCCGCTCCAGCCAAGTGCCGCAGCACACCCGCCCCAGCCAAGTGCCGCAGCACACCCGCCCCAGCCAAGTGCCGCAGCACACCCGCCCCAGCCAAGTGCCGCAGCACACCCGCCCAAGTGCCGCAGCACTCCAGCCCAGCCAAGTGCCGCAGCACTCCAGCCCAGCCAAGTGCCGCAGCACACCCGCCCAGCCAGTGCCGCAGCACTCCAGCCCAGCCAAGTGCCGCAGCACTCCAGCCCAGCCAAGTGCCGCAGCACTCCAGCCCAGCCAAGTGCCGCAGCACTCCAGCCCAGCCAAGTGCCGCAGCACACCCGCCCAGCCAGTGCCGCAGCACTCCAGCCCAGCCAAGTGCCGCAGCACTCCAGCCCAGCCAAGTGCCGCAGCACTCCAGCCCAGCCAAGTGCCGCAGCACTCCAGCCCAGCCAAGTGCCGCAGCACACACGCCCCCGCCCAAGTGCCGCAGCACTCCAGCCCAAGTGCCGCAGCACTCCAGCCCAAGTGCCGCAGCACTCCAGCCCAAGTGCCGCAGCACTCCCGCCCAGCCAAGTGCCGCAGCACACACGCCCCCGCCCAAGTGCCGCAGCACTCCAGGCCCAGCCAAGTGCCGCAGCACTCCAGCCCCAGCCAAGTGCCGCAGCACACCCGCCCAAGTGCCGCAGCACTCCAGACCCAGCCAAGTGCCGCAGCACACACGCCCCCGCCCAAGTGCCGCAGCACTCCAGCCCAAGTGCCTCGGCACTCCCGCCCAGCCAAGTGCCGCAGCACACCCGCCCAAGTGCCGCAGCACTCCAGACCTAGCCAAGTGCCGCAGCACACCCGCCCAAGTGCCGCAGCACACCCGCCCAAGTGCCGCAGCACTCAAACCCAGCCAAGTGCCGCAGCACTCAAACCCAGCCAAGTGCCGCAGCACACCCGCCCAAGTGCCGCAGCACACCCGCCCAAGTGCTGCAGCACACCCGCCCAAGTGAGATGCCGCGTGGGGAAACCTCCCGGGCAAGCACTCACTTCCCTGTACATATCTCCTTTCCGTCCAGCGAGCTTCGGTCTCACAGCGGTCGGAATAGGAATCCATACCAAACGGGCATTGGTCCCACAGCAAAGCTCCCACGTTTCCTCTTTCATCCACCGAGCATTCGGTCTCCAGCAGATGCCGCGTGAGGAAACCTCCCGGGCAAACACTCACCTTCCTGTACGTCCAGCGAGCATCGGTCTCACAGCGGTCGGAATAGGAACTATACCAAGCGGGCATCGGTCCCACAACAAACGTTCAAACGCCCCACGTCCACAGGCCAGCAGGGCCCATCCAGTCCAGGCGGTGTATCGCCTCACAGGCCCCCGCGCATATAAAAAAAAAAAAAAAAAAAAAAAAAAAAAAAATTACAAAAAAAGGCAGACTCTTCCTCGAGACGCCAGTCCGCCAAGCTTGGCACTCTGGGGTGTTTTTAATCCGGCGGCTGTCCTCTGCTCCTTAGCGTTAGGGGGGTACTCTGGGTTCGGGCCGAATTCCGAGCCCGGAGCCCCGGGCCGGATTCCGAGCCCGGATCCCTCCCTCCGGACAGCACGCCAAATACGCATTAAACCTATTCCTTAATTGGCATGTAAGTGCGAACTCGTGAAATGAGGTTTACTAACAAGGTTCGGGAGGAGGACTTTCAGGTAATTAATTACAGGTGGAAGCTCTCAGCAATCAACGACTAGGGTACATATAGACTCAGCAGTCTTACCTCGCTCCGCTGACAGCTCGCAGCATCCCCCCACCACCCCTTCTCCGCTCAAATTCTAGTCCTAACCACTTACATGCGGGGGGGGGTACTCTGGGTTCGGGCCGAATTCCGAGCCCGGAGCCCCGGGCCGGATTCCGAGCCCGGATCCCTCCCTCCGGACAGCACGCCAAATACGCATTAAACCTATTCCTTAATTGGCATGTAAGTGCGAACTCGTGAATGCAGTAGGATCCAAAACTTCCTTTTCCTAACAATGGAAGTTATCCAAAATGTTGTGTTTACATTATTGACCTGTGTTTACGGTCTTTCATAGGGTAGAAATAGCCTAGAAAATTTGTATTGTTTTAGCAGCCCCCGTCTTGCCAGGATAGATCTTGACTGACCTGATGAAGCACAACTGTGGGTCGTTCCCACATATGCATTTCTCAATAAAGGTTCACATGTTGGTATGTAGCACTACATTCCTGCATTGTTTTACCAGATAATCTTGTCAGACCGTAATACTTTTTACCAAGTGTTTTGGGAGATTTCTACAGCCGTTCATGTTATTTTCTCTGAAAAATAGCTTCTGTCTCTCCCATTTCCTGACAGAAATTCTTCCTTTAAAGTGTCTATTGCTCTCTTGGAGAAACCTGCCGATGAGCTTTCTCTTTGTTGGTTATTGCTTTCTCCCTTCTCTCAAGTCATTGCTATCAATAATAATGGGTTTTCAGCATAACGTAAATTAAACTGCTTCTATATTGTACAAGATGTATGGTGTG